CCACATTGCACAAATCTCCTTAATCTTTGAAGAAGGCACCTTCTTCCATCTCTCTTCTTCCTCTTCTGAAGCAATTTCCTCAGCTGTGGTCTGTTGCTGTTGCAGATGAAGCTCTTGCAGCTTCTCATTGCACACAATTGACTCTTGGCAACAGTTTTCCTTGAAAACACTGGGATTTTCAGAGTGATACACCAGTAAAGGCTTCATTTTGAAATCCCCACTAGCACTACCACACAACAAGAGAGTTAGCCTGTCTTTCATAGGCTTATGTCCTGGGAGTGCCTTTTCCTCCTGAGTAATGTAGGTCCTGTTTGGCATTTTCTTCCACAACAGGCCTGTTTTGTCACAACTGAACACTTGTTGGGGTTGGAATTTTTCAGCCTCTACATAACATTTGAATTCCCACACAAATTTTTCAGCTGCTTGTTTGTCTGAACTGGCACCCTCACCGTGCTTTACAACACCGTGTATGCCACTTCACTTCTTGAATTTTTCAAACCAGCCTTTGCTGGCCTTAAATTCACCGACATCAGCACTTTTCAGGCAGTTTCTCTAAGATGTCGTCATGTAACTGTCTTGCCTTTTCACAAATAATTGACTGCACAACACTATCTCCTGCTAACTCTTTCTCTCTGATCCACACCAACAACAATTTCTCCACTTCTTCAATTGTTTGGGATCTCTGGTTATCGCATTCACCCCTTTTGCAACATCAGCTTGATTTCTTTTCTCTTTGCCACAATGGAGCTGACTGTTGATGATGACTCCCCATACATCCTGCCAAGTTCAGCAATGCGTATGCCACTGTCATATCTTCTTAGGATTTCTTTTTTCAGTTCTACGGTGTTCCTCACTTTCTTTACCAAAGCACTGCCACTACGAGCTTTCTTTGGGGCCATGATCACTTATTTAGCAGTCACACACGATCAACAAGTGGCAAGAACAATGGATTACAGTGGAACCTCTGCTTGCGAGTTTAATCCGTTCCATGACCTTGCTTGCTCCTGGATTTGCTCATTTGCAGAGTCAGTTTTCTTCATTTAAATTAATTGAAATACAATTAATCCGTTCCAGTGGAATTCGGTACTTCAATAATTTCGCTAATATCAACTCTATGGCTTATTTATCTATCATAGTTCATCTAATATGACATAATAAACAATATAAATAACATAGAAACATGATATATACTCTAGAATGAATAAAATGTCATTATGTAACAGGTGGAGGCGGCCACAACCGCTCCCTCTTTGTTGTGGTAAACACTGCCATCTAGTGACGGCCTTTTGAAGCCATCTATTATTATAATTATTATATATAGTACATTCTTATTATGTATTATTATTATACATATTATATTATTATTATTGTATTATATTATTATTATTGTATTATATTATTATACTATTATTATTACATGTATTATTATTATACATATTATTGTTATTATTATTATATAAATAATTTGTAATTTTCATTCACACAAAAAATATAAGATTTACCATTATTTCTTATTACAATAATTGTATAAATAATGTCAAGCCATTCACGACTGCATGTTGGAATGGACAGTGACGTCATTTGTTTACTCTGAAACAGCCAAGCAGTGGACCATTTCTCCTAGGTTGAGCTCTATTTCAAGGTACTTTTCATCATGAAAGCAATTAAAATCATATCTATTTCTGTAATACACCTACCATCCGACTTACGACTGAGTTCGGTTCCGAGAAATCGGTCGTAAGTCGAAATGGTCGTAAGTCGAACTTTACTATTGAATATCAACAAAACATTTTTGTAATGACTTTATTTTATTGTTTTATTTTGGTATTTCATGTTTTACTTTACTTTTTATGTTGTTAGTACTGTATTTTATACTGTAAGGTTTAGGATAAACACTGTGTACAGCACAAATAGTTGTTTATTTCCCAGAAATATGGCATAAAAAACACGGTCGTAGGTCGAGTGGTCGTAAGTTGAGCAGGTCGTAAGTCGGATGGTAGGTGTATATCTTCCATTCTATCAAATGAGACCAAAAAAATGAGAATACAACCACAAAAACCATTTGAAATTACCGCTAAGGGGAGGCTAATTGCTGAGAAGTGAACTCCATTATTTATGCTCCAGTTTCTTTCATTTTTTGGTATACGTTAGGAAGCATCTTTCCATCATACATTGCCCAAGTTTCAATAAGATAGCCCAACAAACAAATGAAATACAGTTCCCAAGATCAAGATCAAGAGCCCCTCACCAGTATCAAGGAACCTGCCTTGAGGTCTGCTCGCTTGTGGAAATTTTGCTCGCGTATGGAAGCAAAAAATCAACCCATCGACTGCTCGTATTTGGAAAAACTCGCACGTGGACACGCTCATAAGTAGAGGCTCCACTGTATTATGAATTGTTTCATATGACCTGGCAGGATATGTTCACTCACCGAGAAATGACGCTACACTGGCTGAGAATGGTGTGGGAGGCGGCTTTGTCTGTGTGCTCGGCACTGGACAGGTTCTGTACGATCGGCAAAGACGGAGGTAATCAATGAAAACAGAGCCAAAAAATAAAAAAAGTTGGCCAAAACCGAAATTGGTGATAACGGAGATCGACAAAAATGGAGGGTCCACTGTGTAATATAAAGTTCCATTATATAAAGTGTACTGAAGGCCTTATAGGGAAATAAGAGTTGCATTCCTTAGGATCCAAAAAACTACTCAACACATTAAAAACAAACATGGCTTAACGAAGTTGTTACGTTCATTAACTGGTCGTTCAGTTGAACAAATAACTTTCAGCAAAGTGGAGAACGTTCAGGGAAAGGTAGGTTTCTGAGGTGCCCAAAACATTGCTGACTACCTTGTTAAACTATGTAGTAAGGTTCCAGTATAGTGGTCCAGTAGTTGTGAGAGGCAGTAATGACCATCCAGGACCATGGTACAGTGGCTCAGTAGTTGTGAGAGACAGGAACGACCATCCAGAACCATGGTGTACTGGTCCAGCAATTGTGAGAGGCAGGAATGACCATCCTGGACCATGGTCTAGTAGTCCAGTAGTTGTGAGAGGCAGTGGTGACTATCCAGGACCATGGCATAGTGATCCAGTAGTTGTGAGAGGCAGTAGTGACAGTCCAAGACCATGGTATAGTGGTCCAGTATGTGTGTGAGACAGCAGTGACCATCCAGGACCATAACTATAATAACCATAAGTTGTAAGATGCAGGAACGACCATCGTGGACCAGAAATATACGTATATAATAATAGTACTGTGTACAACCATCCTAGTGTTGTGTACAACCATCCTATTGTTGTGTACAACCATCCTATTGTTGTGTACAACCATCCTAGTGTTGTGTACAACCATCCTAGTGTTGTGTACAACCATCCTAGTGTTGTGTACAACCATCCTAGTGTTGTGTACAACCATCCTAGTGTTGTGTACAGCCAACCTAGTGTTGTGTACAGCCAACCTAGTGTTGTGTACAACCATCCTAGTGTTGTGTACAACCATCCTAGTGTTGTGTACAACCATCCTAGTGTTGTGTACAACCTAGTGTTGTGTACAACCATCCTGGTGTTGTGTACAACCATCCTGGTGTTGTGTACAACCATCCTGGTGTGTACAACCATCCTATTGTGTACAACCATCCTAGTGTTGTGTACAACCATCCTAGTGTTGTGTACAACCAACCTAGTGTTATGTACAACCATCCTAGTGTTGTGTACAACCATCCTATTGTGTACAACCATCCTAGTGTTGTGTACAACCATCCTAGTGTTGTGTACAGCCATCCTAGTGTTGTGTACAGCCATCCTAGTGTTGTGTACAGCCATCCTAGTGTTGTGTACAACCATCCTAGTGTTGTGTACAACCATCCTGGTGTTGTGTACAACCATCCTAGTGTTGTGTACAGCCATCCTAGTGTTGTGTACAGCCATCCTAGTGTTGTGTACAACCATCCTAGTGTTGTGTACAACCATCCTGGTGTTGTGTACAACCATCCTGGTGTTGTGTACAACCATCCTAGTGTTGTGTACAACCATCCTGGTGTTGTGTACAACCAGCCTAGTGTTGTGTACAATCATCCTGGTGTTGTGTACAACCATCCTGGTGTTGTGTACAACCATCCTGGTGTTGTGTACAACCTAGTGTTGTGTACAACCATCCTGGTGTTGTGTACAACCTAGTGTTGTGTACAACCATCCTGGTGTTGTGTACAACCTAGTGTTGTGTACAACCATCCTAGTGTTGTGTACAACCATCCTGGTGTTGTGTACAACCATCCTGGTGTTGTGTACAACCATCCTAGTGTTGTGTACAACCATCCTAGTGTTGTGTACAACCATCCTGGTGTACAATGTTAAGTAATTTGAACAATTTGTACATGCCTCTCCCTAGGAAGACCATACTGACCCTTGTACACGACTGGTAAGTCAAATTATTATTATTATTATTATTATTTTTGTTATTACAATTATTATAATATGCATAAGGTTCATTTTCCAGCTTATTCTGGTGTTGTTTTGTCACTATTGCTGCTTTTAAAAATTTTCTTGGCCATAAGGTTCATTTTCCTGCTTATTCTGGTGTTATTTTGTCATTGTTGCCGCTTTGAGAAATTCATGTAGCCATATGTGACGTTTTCCAGTCTTTTTTCATGTTATTTTGCCACTATCACAACTTTTATATATTGTAATAACCATAAGATTGATTTTGCAGCTTATTTTAATGTTATTTTGTCATTATTGCAGCTTTAAAAATTTTTTTTATCCATAAAGGTCATTTTCTAGTTTGTTTTAATGTTATTCTGTCACTGTTGTAACTGTGAGAATTATAGTAGTATTTGTTGAGTAGTAATTATAGTATTTGTTGAGAATTATAGTATTTGTTGAGAAGGAATATTAATTATAGGATTTGTTGAGAATTATAGTGCATATTTGTTTAGCAAGAATTATAGAATTAGACATGATTTATACATTCAGTGATTTAGACATTGTTGTCACCGTGACAGTGGTGGTGGTCGTAGCAGCAAGTCGTCGTCGTCGTGGAGTTCACCCAGACTGTCTACCAGAACACAACAGTCTAACATGGAGACTATCTTCTTCAGTACTATTGTGAGTAGTGTACTATTGTCTTGTTTACATTGTGTATATTGGCCTCCACTCCAGAACAAGAGATATTAATGCCAGCAAACCAAGCCTCCCTAAATTCCATCAATATAATGACATTTATCTTTGCAAACATACAGGGTCTAAAGCCGTCAACAAACAACAAAATACCGCAAAGTTTGCAGCATTCACAGAGACCCACATAAAGCATCATTTTGACAACGAAATATAGATCCCAGGTTATAACCTATTCTGATGTGACAGAGTGAACAGGCATCAAGGGGGGGTTGGCCTGTATGTCACAGAGTCGCTCATTTGCTCAGAACTAGAGTGGAACCTCTACTTGCGAGTTTAATCCATTCCATGACCTTGCTCACAACTGGATTTGCTCGTTTGCAGTCAATTTTCCTCATTTAAATTAATTGAAATGCAATTAATTCGTTCCAGTGGAATTCGGTACTTCAATAATTTCGCTAATATCAACTCTACGGCTAATTTATCTATCATAGTTCATCTAATATGACATAATAAACAATATAAATAACACAGAAACATGATATATACTCTAGAATGAATAAAATGTCATTATGTAACAGGTGGAGGCGGCCACAACCGCTCCCTCTTTGTTGTGGTAAACACTGCCATCTAGTGACGGCCTTTTGAAGCCATCTATTATTATAATTATTATTATGTAGTACATCATTATTATATATGTATTATTATTATACATATTATATTATTATTATTGTATTATGTTATAAGTATGTATTATTATTATTATACATATTATTATTATTATTACAATATAAATAATTTGTAATTTTTATTTACACAAAAAATATAAGATTTACTGTTATGCCTTATTGCAATAATGTCAACCAGTTCACTTCTACATACTGGAATGGGCAGTGACGTCTTTTGTTTACTCAATCGAACAAGCAATCGAACATTTCTCCTACGTTGAGCTCAATTTTAAGCTATTTTTCATTGTGAAAGCAATCAAAATCATATCTATTTCTGTAGTATATCTTCCATTCTGTCAAATGAGACCAAAACAACGAGAATACAACCATAAAAACCATACGAAAATACAGTGGACTCCCGTCCAACAGTGGCATCAAGTAATGGCAAATTCGTCTAATGGCGCTCTTTGGCATAAAAAAATGGCTATACCAATGGCAAAAAACTCGTCTAATGGCGTTCAGCCTGAGCGAGCCCAGCCACTTCAAGACTCAGTGTGCCATTGTTTACAAGCCGTTGTGGTCGATTCCACATGTACCTGCAATATATTTTGTATTATTCCAGTGTTTTTAGTGCTTGTAACCACTAAATAAGCCACCATGGGCCCCAAGAAAGCTTCTAGTGCCAAGTCTGTGGTAAAAAGGGTGAGAATTAGGATGGAGATGAAGAAAGAGATCATTGAAAAATACGCAAGTGGAGTGCGTATGTCTGAGTTGGAAAGGCTATACAACAAATCCCACTCAACCATCAGTACTATCTTGAACCTGCAAGAGCCTCAGGTGCAACAGCAATAGATCACATCTCAGGAATGTTCTTCAGAGCAGGATGAAGAGACTCACGAAATTGTAATGACACGATTGCAAACAAACCATACCACGGGCGGGATTTGAACCCGCTGTCAGAGAGTCTCAAAACTCCAGACCGTCGCGTTAGCCACTGGCTAATGCGACGGTCTGGAGTTTTGAGACTCTCTGACCGCGGGTTCAAATCCCGCCTGTGGTATGGTTAGGATGAAGAGAGACGGAGGAAGATGACTTTGTCAAGGATTAGGGAAATATGTACAATGTTTGCAAAGGTGCAAGCATTTATCGATGAATTTTATCCTGTCACAGCTGTTGCAAGCCATATTGGCAACATGTACAATGCCACTCTTGTGTCCATAATAGGGAAATCCTAAGGGCACATGAGAAACAGAGCTCACTGGACAGATATTTTGTCTGACAGGGGTCCAGTGACTCAAGCTGGTCCTAGTGGCATTAAAAAACCAAAAAGGGAGTTAACCCACCAAAGAACTTAGTACCTGAAGTCTTTATGGAAAGGGATTTCCCTTCCAAACAATAGAACACCTGCATCATCTGCCCTCTACCGTCTCATCACTCATCAACAACTCCACAATAAAGGTAAGTGGTATTTAATTAGTGTTTATTTTGCATGTCCCATTCGTTTTTCTGTAGGGAAATGTATATTTCATGTAAAAAAAATTTTTTGTTTAATATTTTTGAGTGTCTGGAACGGATTAATTCTATTTCCATTATTTCTTATGGGAAAATTAATTTGACTAACAGGCTAGCTCTCTGGAATGTATAAATGCCGTTGGTCAAGGGTCCACTACTGCTAAGGGGTGGCTAATTGCTGAGAAGTGAACTCCATTATTTATGCTCCGATTTTTTTCAATTTTGGTGTATGTTAAGAAGCATCTTTCCATCATACATTGCCCAAGTTTCAATAAGATAGTCCAACAAACAAATGAGATACAATTCCCTAGATCAAGAGCAAGAGCCCCTCACCAGTGTCAAGGAACCTGCCTTGAGGTCTGCTCGCTTATAGAAATTTTGCTCGTGTATGGAAGCAAAAAATCGACCCTTCGACTGCTTGTACAGTGGACCCCTGCTTTACGATCAGCTCCCAATGCGACCAATTATGTAAGTGTATTTATGTAAGTGCGTTTGTACGTGTATGTTTGGGGGTCTGAAATGGACTAATCTAATTCACAATATTCCTTATGGGAACAAATTCGTTCAGTACTGGCACCTCAACATGCTTCTGGAATGAAATAATATCGTAAACCGGGGGTCCACTGTATTTGGAAAAACTCACACGTGGATGCGCTCGCAAGTAGAGGTTCCACTGTACTAAACACCTCAAATGATGTAGTTGAAGTTTTGGTGGTAAAGATTGACAACCAAAACCTTTTCATTGTGGTGGTATACAAGCCTCCAGATGCAGCTTCCCAACAGTTCCAGGAACAGCTTTTGAAAATTGACCACTGTCTGGAATATCTTCCAGTTCCTGCCCCCAACATCTTTCTCCTGGGGGATTTCAACCTAAGGCACCTAAAATGGAGGAATGTAGCAAATAATGATGTAGCAGAGGTAACACCAGGAGGCAGCTCAGATGAGAACTCGCACACACACGAGTTTTTAAATCTCTGCATCAAATTCATCTTAAACCAGCAAATGATAGAACCAACAAGATTGGAGAATACACTGGACTTCATCTTCACTAACAATGATGATCTGATACGAAATATTACCATATAAAAAAACAATACATTCAGATCAGAACATAATAGAGGTACAGACATGTATGTACAGGGCTCCTGACCAGCAAAATGTGATCAGTCATGAGGGTGTCTTCACAAAATTCAACTTCAGTAACAAAAACCTACAAATTAAACAAGTTGGGAAGATTTCCTAAACAACACAGATCCAAACCTTTGCCTAGAAAAAATAAACTCAGTGGTTCTTGAGATGTGTTTAAGGCACATTCCATTAACCCTTAAACTGTCCAAACGTAGATCTATGTTCACGTGCGTGGCGCTCCAACCTTGATTTTCCCCATTTGAAAGCATATAAAAAAAAAACGTAGATCTATGTTCGGAGCCCCCCCGCACGTGGACGTAGATCTACGTTTGGACAGTTTAAGGGTTAAGAAAGAGAAGATGTAAGCTAGAAAGAGACACTAAAGTCCTAATATGACTCAGTGTTCAGTCAGCCATTAACCAGGCTAAGGGTCAACAATATAAATGAATTTTTATGACTCAGACTCAAAATCTGCTCATTTCAAAAATTTCTGATATTATCCTAACAACACAAGACTTTGAAAAGGCAATAAATGACATGGCCATGCACTCTGCCCCAGGCCCAGACTCATAATAAAGATAAAGATATTTATTTTGGCAAATTACATGGTTGTATAGAGGAATATAATAGTTGGGTGTACATGCCAAAAGCCCCTCTTAAGATTAACTTAAGATTAGTAAGGCAATAATACATAGTTCATATGGTCATTAGATGAGTTACAGTGAGTACAGTAGAATTGTATATTCTATCAGGTAATACTACATGGTTTTAATAAGTCTGGTAGAGACTTATCACATTATTGAATTAGTTAATAAAGATTACAGTATTACAATTTACAACAATTTACAATATGATGTATTACAGTTTAGTACTATTTAAAACAATGAAATTTCGTATTACAATGCAACAATTTACATTATGGTGTTGTGTATTACAATCTACTCCTATTTAAAACAATGGAAAAATAGACATGTCAGTTTGGAAGTAGTAAATGGTTGAGTATTTATTATCATAATATAAGTAACTTTTGAGAAACTGGTAGTGATTACGTACAGTTTGTCTTGTTAATTTTAGGTGATAAGGTAATTTGCAGACAGGTGTCCTTTAGCGTGTTCTGGCAGTGAATTACAGATCTTCGGGCCTTTGACGTGCATAGCATTTTTGCATACGGAGAGATGAACACCAGGGATATCGAAGAGTGATCTGTGTTTCATATTAGGGTTGTGTGTTCTGTTATAGTTATCAAGGAGGAGTTTGAGAGGAGAGTTTAAATCAAATCAAATCAAAGTTTATTCTCTATAAGGATTACAATGCGGGGTTTACAGATTTTGTTATTGTATGGTTTACATGTAATAAAATACTAATTACAGAGGGGGCCACTAGAACACCTAGCATGGTTAGGCATTTCGGGCAGACTTAGATTAATTCTTAACTCTAAATTATTACAAATTGTGGAGTAAGTTGACTAAATACTAAGTGGCTAAATACTAGTTTGTAAGTTTAGCAATGTGAAGGCTTTTGTTTTGGCACAATACATAGTTTCTATATTGGAGTATCACAGGCAAACTTGTGACTAGTTAGGAATCATTATTTTAAGATTTTATTATTATTATTATCACACCGGCCGATTCCCACCAAGGCAGGGTGGCCCGAAAAAGAAAAACTTTCACCATCATTCACTCC